AGAGAGAGAGAGAGAGAGAGAGAGAGAGAGAGAGAGAGAGAGAGAGAGAGAGAGAGAGGGAGGTACGCATTGAATACAGTTTTCACAACAAACCTGTGTGTTCCGCATGAAGGGTGACCCGAAGAGCTCAATAAGTAGAAGAGTGCCAAAGACACAGAGACCCAAGCCAATGTACTCCCAACTGCCAAATGCTAGGTTGGAATTCCCATTTCCGCGGCACTCACTCTTCATCGTGAGCACGTTGTCAGCACAATCCACACCACCACCCCAGTACTTAAATCCAACTGCAACTAACGAGGTCCCTATTAGAACAACTGCACACAAGTCACACAGATTACAGGAGACAACAACGAGGAGACACTCAGCCAACCAATCCCAGGCAGGGTACAGTGATCATATGCACAAATTCGATTCAGGAACCAACCCAACCAAACTATGAAAGATGATTAAACCACCAGTACTTGGCCCAGCTATCGGCTGCTGAAAAAGTAGAAGCATTTCTAGTTGGATGAATTTCGGCACTCCTGTAGTGGCCGGTACCTTTCCTAAATTCGTGTCTTGTATACGGGCACGGCTTTACGACGTACTGGTGGTTTAAGGCAGTCAACTGACTGGTATGTTTGTTTCCTCATACAATACGACACGTTGACGTTATCACAACTTATCAGCATGACACACGACCTGATCAAAAATTTGCACTCGTGCACATCTAACCCCCAAAACAACTCAGGCTGGTTGTTGGGGGGGATAAGGTAGCTTGTAATTGATGCTACATCTGGCGGTCCCAAGGGGGACTGAAGAGGCAGTCCTGTTCCCTTTTTGGACTTATGATATACTGATGTACTATCTCAATGACGTTTACGGGATGCTGGACCCGATTTCCAGCAGGTGCTCCTCCCCACCAATAGATGGAGCAGTTGGACACGAGTCTACTAGGGGTGGCTTCTTGTATCACCATCGCTAGTAGACTTAGTCCAACTTTAATTGTAAAAAAAAAAAAAAAAAAAAAAAAACACAATCTGACTGCAGCCAAGCGGGTGCTTATCATCAGGATTACAGACAAACAACATAGTCTATTCACTATACAACTGGGAGGAGACGCTAAGCTCTCCGATCATCAGCAGGGTACAGTCAGATGGATCACGTGCGCAAAATCCATTCACAAACCAGCTCTACTGACCTTTTTTTGGGTAAGGATTCAGACAGTCAGATACCTCCCTCCCTCTCTCTCTGTGGCTCTCTCTCTCTCTCTCTCTCTCTCTCTCTCTCTCTCTCTCTCTCTCTCTCTCTCTCTCTCTCCTCGTGTCCCCTTTCTCTCTTGCTCTCTCTGC